GACTTTTGCTGTAAAAGACCACCACCTACACACACACACACACACACACACACACACACACACAAGCCTCTATTCCCCCTGCATTTCTCCCTTATCTTCTTCAATGACCAATCAAAAGGCCCGATCCAAATCCCGCCAACGAGCCCAGATGACTGTCTTAACGAGCTGCTAATCCCCCACCCCACCCCCGAAGCATACGCAACATAGCAACAAGTCAAACCGCACGTGAATAAATGTTTAATAGCTGAATAAAAAAAACTGCATTTGCTTTGATTGGTCACACCGTGTGAAGGTGACAACAAGGTTACAATGGATCCTATCTGAGGTGTGAAAAGCCTCGGCGTCCAGCGGGGGTCCATTTTGCCAACAACAGTCATGGACGTGAGCGTCTCCATGACAACTGTGGAGGGTTGTGTAATGCGAGGTGCACCGTAACGAACAAAAAGACACCTTTTGTGGACTGACGACATCCAAGCAGCTGGGTGTTTTGTTTATTTTACCTTAACTAACTGCAGCGGAAATATTTAATATTCATGCCTCATCCCGGTTTAAACTGCTGCAATGTACACTCAATATTGGTATCCCATTTATTGTCTGCATTTTCAAAAAATCTAATTTCTCTGTAATTCAGTTTATAAGGAACTATTTAAAATATACCATTTTATTACAATATCCAAAAATTGCTTTAATGCCATTACATAGATTACATTTCTTTATTTGTTATTTAAAAGCACTTGACTCCTGGAACAAAATATGTACCTTAAAAATGTGTTCACTTGTATCGTTTAGATATTTTATAAATGTGTTCTTTTAATTGTAATTATTTTAAATGAAATGATCTATTCTATCCAATTCTTTGTACAAACTTTTATTGAATTAACTTGATCAAATGATCCACATTCAATGCAGATTTCTATGGTTTTTCACATCTTGTCCTTATTCATGAATCAAATGATTTGACCCAATTGGACCTTTTCAATGGCTTTTACTTTTTAATAATGGCCTCTCTATCTGTTACTATCCCTCTTTGTTGTTGTTTTCATTTTCTTTAAAAAGCCCTACAAAGAGAAGAAGATACATTCTTCCAAACAATACATCTTCAGTTCACCCCCCCTCCAGTGTTTTCCATTTCAACACCATTAATCATTGCTATTGCTTTTGTCACCATGGAAACTGGACTTGCTGCATCTCACGCGGGTCTGCTGGGATTTTCACAATAGGCAGACTGACGGCTCCCGTGGCTGCAGCAGGTCAGTGAGCCCAGCGAGCGCAGAATCAGACCCTGAGAGACACACAACCACCTCTTGTCTGTCTGTCCCCCCCCACCCACCACAATCAACACCACACGGCCCCCTTCCCACAGATTACATAACCACAGCTTCAATATGGGCATCGTAAGACACTGTGACATAAAGAGCCCCTTCAATTCCTCCTCCATGTTCTGTCATAAGCCTCAGGTACAGATGAACCCAAATACTACTACAAGCTAAAGGGGGGGTTCCTCATACTCTAGGGCACAAAGTGTTCACTCCCCAAACGCTGCTGTGTGACCTGTGCTGCCCTGCACATTACATGCGGAGCCCTTTGAGGGGAGAACAAGGGGGGATATCACATGGAGAAACAGCTCGGTGACAAACAAGCTCAGCGACCGAGATCTTTATCTTCTTCTAAAAATACCAACAGCTGTCTGCAGATCAGCTTCACTTAACATTTAGTGAAGATGGTAAACACATTACAGGGTCTTGAGAGCATTAATTAAATCGCTGACAGGCAATAAATCAATATAATGGATCGAGGCCAGTCATTCAGCGAGACAGAAGTGAGTACAAGACTCCTGGGCAGCTTCTTAGTTCAGACTAATGTGGTAGCCAATATGCAGGGAGCCCCGTGTTACTCCACAAGAACCCATAATGCATTATGATGTGAGCATGAACAGGATGTCAACAGATGATAGTAAGAACTTATTTCTGGAGATTGAGAGACAGCAGAGGAGGAGGAAGAAGAAGAGTGAAGTTGGAGCTCCGGGGTACTCACCGTGATCTTGGTCTCCTTGACCTCCCTGATCTGCCTCCTGGCCGGTGAAACGGAGCCGGGGGGCTGCGGGGCGAGACAGGAGGGGTCGTCAAAACTCTCCTCAGTGTCAAAGCTGGCTTCCATCATCCTCCCTCTCACCTCCTGCTGCTTCTCTATGCTGGGAAAGCCTCACCGCTCTCTCCTCTCTCTTTCTCTTTCCCTCCACTCACCGAGGCTGCCTTCAGTCTCAAGCTATGGAGTGAGTGGAGAGGAGTCGTGTTGCAAGAGGTGGGGGGAGGGGAGAGGAGGTGTAGCGCTGGGAAGGTAGCGTAAGGGGGTGAGGAGGGGGATTCTGCGGCCGCTGTGGGAGCGTGACGAAGTCTAGCCCCCGGATAAGCTGCTGTCACAAGAGTTTTAAAGGTTGAAGGCTGCAAAGGAGATAGATGCTGCCTGCGAGGGGGTCTCTGTGTACCCTCCACCCTGCTTCACCTACACCCCTCACCCAACCATGTCCATTCAGAGGAAGAGAGAAAAAAATCCAGCTCCTGGATGGAGATGCTGGAGCGTAAAAGGCGAGGATGTGGAAAAAAGAAGAAATAGTAAGAAGAGGAGGGGGTTTATTTACACAATCACTGCTTCACCTCCTTCCCCCAGGAGGCGTGAGAGTGTGGGAGGAGGCAGCAGAAGTGGTGGAGGTGGAGGTGCGGTGGGGGTTGGTTTGATGGAAATGGTTGAATGATTATATTTAAATGACTAATTACGATTGGGAGGGAAACTGGTGGAGGAGGAGGAGAAAGAGAAAGAGAGCAGGAGGGGGAACAAGCAGCCAATCAGACGCAGCCTCTCTGATGTGTGTTCATGTGTCGGGAGACATGTGTGTTTAGGATGGAAGGGGTTATGAAAGTGTGATGAGGAGGCAAATTCAGGGACCGTAAGTCAACATAATGCACAACATTTGACATATTTGTGTATTAATGTGTTCTGTATGCAGCACTCATGTTCCCAGTATGTGTGTGTTTGCAAGGTGGCAGCATCTCTCTCACATGACAGCGCTTCACCCGAGGCATCAAACACACGCAGCGTGCAGAGCGGAGCGGCTACGACCCGTGATCACTGCATCCCTCACACCTTCTCATCCACCTGCGCTGCTCTAACAACACGTCACATGCACGAACGCGCACATGAACCACGTTCTCACCTTCGCTGAACAAAACATGGCGGCGGCCGTCAGCTCTGACCAACACTATCCCAGTCCAGGTCTCCCCGATCCGCGGCCCCAGTGCTCCCAACCGTCTTGGCAGGCCTCCTTTCCAAAACTGACAAAGTCTTGACAAGTGGAGTCCAAATCTCAGCCGCCCATATGGCACCGACTGTCCGTCCATCTACACTCTCCTGTGTGATCATGACACGGTATGCCCTCATATGACTCGTAATTAGTCACGTGTGTTGGCATGTAGTCGACATTGGCCCAGGTCCACCGGAGCGGATCTGCTTTCAGAAGGCGGGGCGCGGCAGCAAGTGCTGATAACAGATTGTGAACTGAAAATGTTCTCACATGGGAGAGAGCAAGTGTGGATTTTAGGTTTTTGCACTCAAGCCGCTCCAAAAGAGGACAATAGAGAAAAGCAGCAAGTCTTCAAATGTAAAGAGCTGGGATTTAGGGGTGGGCAATTAGATGGATATATTGGCTATAGATGAATGGAATCCATTGCCGGTTGTATTCTTTGATCACTAAGGATTTTGGGCTGGCTTTTCCAGTGGCAGCGGCTGTTAGCGTAGCATTCTCAGCAAGATTCGCAAATACTTATGCAAATTGCCAGTTTAAGAATATTTTACCTGCACTACACGTGTGCAACAACCACACATTGGCCTGTTTAGGTCCTTCAGCTTGAAACCTGAATTTAATGACTACTAGATTATCAAATTATAGCTAATTCACTTTCTTGTAATATCCAATGATATGCACCTGACATAACGGATGAGTTTGACAACACAATAACAAGACTGTCTTCTCGAGAGGAACAACACTATCAGTCAATTCAGCATATCCAGATGAAGAGGAGGAGGTTGAGGAGGATGGATGGATAGATCAATTAAACAAAGATATTGTTTTTTTTCCCAGCTTGACCACATTTGCATTTGCAAACAAAGCAGATCATTCTTACTGCCTACCTGTTTGCTCATGGTGGGTCTCCTCAAAGCAACATCAGCGGCCTCTGTGAGACTGGTCCTCGGACTGCTGTGGCATCCGTTGGCTGAGGACAAAAACAATTACAATCACATATTATTGATTAAAGTGAGGGCTGGAGGCTTGCTTTTGTGAAATGACTTCTCATAACTGAGCAGATGGGAAGAGCTGGATCAACAGATTCAGAGGCAAATCAATTGCAAAGGTCAGATCTTGAAATGTGACATCCTAATGCTGGTTTGTCCAAGGACAGATTTGTTTTTCCTCAAACCAATATATTGACTTTTCAATGCAGTTTAGGTTATCTTTGTGGCAATTGAATGGTAAGATTTGTTGAATCTTCTTGTCACTACATTTGTCTTAATTCAGGTTTCCATTCCCTACATCCATTTATCCACATATTAAAAAGGGATGTCATTAAGGAACTACGCTCCGGGGTTTAACGTCTCTGTAGCAACCTCCCTGGTTTCATGCTTTGGGCCCTTAATGGTTCTTCATTGTGTGTGATTCATGAGCTGTCTGTTCGCTGCATATCAACTCGTCCCATCTCCAGCTGAAGGTAAACACGTGAGCCCAGCAGAGTGTGAGCCCCTAGGCCACATATTAAAGCCGCGGACGCTGGTCGAAGTAGGAAAACCAGGCCAACTTAAAGTAATAATCACAAGCATCAAGACATGTACCACCTTTGTTGACCTCTGTTAATGACCAGCAAAAATCAATAGGTCCCTGGCATATGTAATTGCGAAGAACAACAGTAAGACAAATTCACACCAAAGCAAGGAGAAACAGACATTATATTACCCCGCGAGGGCTCAATAAGGCTAGATGATGAAAATGGAGCAAACAGTCAGCCCTTTCAGACTTGCTTTTTGCCTAATCATAAAGAAAACAGATAATTCAACATCTGTGTAAATATGCAAATTCAGTTTTCCCCCCAGAGACATAGACGAGAAGATTGATGTTTCTCTCGTGCATCTTTTAAAGGTGCCCTATTATGCTAATGTTCTGGTTCTACTGTGACATGTCTACAAGCTTTAATGTTCAGGATGCTCTTTATTTTTTATTTGGCCGGCTCTGTTGTGATAGGTCAACCGCTTAGTGTTGTCCGGCCCCTTAGCCTATCTCGTACAATGTGCTAGCCAATAGAGTGTTATATAGTAGTAGTGTCACTATTTTATGGTAGTAAACAAAGGAGTCCAATGGAAGCGTTTCAGGCAGGGGGGGGGGGAAGTGTGTAGGAGAGAAACTCCCTCTGGAGGGAACTTTGGGAAGTTAGCCTTTGCAGACCATTTACATGCACAAAAACCTATATAACATCCTACAGGGAAGGGAAAACCTCCAAAAAGCAAAATAGAGGTGGAAACAGGAAGTGGTTACTGAAGGCAGTTTATAACAGCTGAGTAGGTGTATAAACCTTTGTAAAAAAGTATGAGTTACAACACATGACTGATAGGGTTTCAAATATACAACCAGAATCATTTTGTTTCATTATTCTATTCTTGTCAAGGCACACATCTGTATTAACATCACATTGGCTCTCAATAGACTGTTGAATTCATGACGTACTTTTGGAGGCCGATCTGGAAGTAAGCGTGGAAAGGGCTCCCTCGACAAAAGATCCATGGAATTCTTCCATTGGATTTTGTTATATGGCAGAAAATAGCCTTTGTGGCAAACACATGTTTATAACACCTACTTTGTTTGTTCAGCAGGATAGTCTCCACACATTAACACCACTTTATGACTTTGGAAGATTAATTGCAATCTCCAAATGTAGAACGCTCATGTTAATGCTATAAACAAACTACATCACGGTCACATGGCTGCATATCAACAGCGCTAAGCTAAAGGCAGACTTGTGTCAGTGTGATGACGTTTTGTACTTTATTCAGTGACTTGTTAGCAAACGCCATTTTTATGACACATAGGAGCTTTGGAAATGTGTTGGCACGTATTTTAAGAACAAAAGGTGAACATCTCTTAAGCTTGTGTTAACCAAATGCCATTTTATAGGCATCTCAGTGTTAAAATGCTAACTCATTTCCAGGGTTTAAGGACTCATTACTGCACCACTTTATTCCACAATCCCTTTTTTTTTTTAAAGGCGATCACTTCTTAAAATGTAAAGACAGAAATTTGAATCTTTATCTAAATTGAAGCTTCAAATGTTAAATAAAAGAACCAAAAAGACTCTTTTGGATTATGCATTATTGTACATATGTTGCTGCACGCAAATATACCTGTGATGCCTTGGCTAGTGTTCAGAGATTCAGACGCTGCCAGACTATTTTGCTCTTTCCACCAGTTTCCTTCTCCAGAGGTGAGAGGAGACGTCCAGGCGGATCAAATAATAACCTGGCCTTAATTAGATGTCTCTCCCTCTTTAGGTGGGTCGCACTTGTCTGGTTGAATGCTGACAACCTCCAGAATTCAGCTGGCTTTCCTACTAAGTGTGTTTGGGCCACATGCCAGCAGAAAGAAGAAAACCATCTGCTATCTGCTAAGATGCTGTTAGTGAGGATGCTGGCAGCGCTGAAACATAATAAGCCAGTCATTAGGAACATTTCCTCCAGTGAGGTTCTTGATCATGTGGGACGCAGCAGAGAAATGTATTACAAGGGATTTGTAAAAAAGCTTTTGGGAAAATGTGTCTTAGTCTCTTGGAAAAAGAGTGATTAATTATAATGTGTCCGTTTAACTGCTCAGCTGAAGGAATCTGGTTTTAAGGATAATACGCAGATTACTTCTGCTGATGACTGGATGCCAAGGGCTCAGTGTCTAAGGAGTTGTTTTGAAAAATTATAACCTGTGGCAAACATCTTAATGAAAAGAGCAATTTGGCGATGAATACAGATGTCACTAGCTCTTTATATTTGTCATTCCTTACCTCCTAAACCTTTAATCTTCAACTTCGCTGCTTCTTGTGCTCATGTTTTGTATTATATGTTGGTTCCCTTTAGAAACTGTGTTGAAAAGAGGCTGGCTGAGGGAATAAAGGCCCAGATTTACCATATGGTGAGGAGCTCTGTCGTGCCAGCGGTCTCTGTGGGACCTCAGCTGACAGGGAGGGACGTCGCCATGTTGTTTCTGGAACGATAAAAACAACAGGGAGATGACAGCTGAAAGAAAAAAGGTAGCACAGAACATCAGCCCCTTCACAGCAAAATCTGCACATTAATATTGCTCTCCAGATGGCGGCAATTATGCCATCAGCTTTCATTGCAAAAGGCTTTTGGGCATGCGCATCGTGTTTTTGCCACACTTGGAGCACTTTGGTGTGGTGAGGTTGATCCAAGTATGCAAAGTGAACGGATGTGGGTCCTTCCAATTTATTTTTGCTTTAATCTAGGAGATTTTCAGATTTTCTTTTCTTGCAAATGTACAACTTTAAAGTCTCAGAAATGTATTTTTCTTTTGCTTGTGGGATTTTTATTTTTTATTTTTCGTGAACATACAATTTTTATCTGTGACTTTGTTCTCAGAATTGCCCCCCTCCTCCTGCAGTTTATAGACCATAATCAAATGTACACTTAATTAAAATGTATATATGCAATCATTTGGGGAAAGATGCTGATCGCATTCATGTTCCTCAGGGGATAAACCTTCTCTATTTTGGACTTTTCTCTCTCATACTGATGTGAGTGGATTCTTTGCAATACTTTTTTTTAAATCTAACTGGCAGTTCATAATAAAATGTTCAGCTGTTCATGCTCCACAAGGAATAAAATGTTCTGATTTCAATGACAGTTCCAAACAAACCTTCTATTGTGTGCATGTACAGTAGGTGTAACACCCACAAACCACTTCTGGGAGGAATAGGCTTTTTAAATATCATTCAGTAAAAGCGAGCAACAAAAAGTGTTTACCTGCTGTTAAAGGTTCAAATCAAAATATACTTTATTTTGGGAGGCGTGTGGTGCAGTGGGTTGTGCGTAGGTGTTCGGATCAGAGGTTCAAACCCCACTGCAGTCAGCATGTCGTTGTGTCCCTGAGACACTTAACCCAAATTGCTCCTGTGGGTATTGCCAACAGTATTGAGTATGTAAGTCGCTTCGGATAAAAGCGTCTAACAAGTAACATGTAATGTAATGCAATTTCCTAGAACACTATAAAAGATTCATGTATAACCTCCTGGATGATTTCCTGATTTACTTCTGAATCTCAGCCGTCTACCACACAGAGTAATCAGGAATCATTCCACTTAGTGTTGCGTGA